AGATTATTTAAAAGAATATATTGAAAATGATGATGATAATAAATATGAGGAAAATATAAATTATATAAAACAAAATGAAAATTATGCAGAACTATGGATAGGTAGTCATAAAAAAGGGCCCAATTTAGTAGTTTATAATAACACTCTTATAAAAGTAGAAGATTTTTTAAAATTTTACGAAGAAAAGAAAAATAAAAAGAATACAATTTTAAAAAATATTCTTAGGAAAATACAAAATACAAAAAAGAAATATTTAAAGAGAAATTATACAACGAAATCAGAAGACACTAACAATTTAAAAAAAAGTAATGAAGAAAACGGAAATTCAAATATCGAAAATTCTATATCAAATAGAAATTCATTAAAAGAAGAAAATGATGTAGTAAATGACGATATACAAAATAATAGTTTTTTTCCATATCTTTTTAAAATTTTGTCAATATCAAAACCATTAAGCATTCAAATTCATCCAAATGAAAAACAATCCTTATATTTAAATAGCATTAATCCTCTCTTATATAAAGATAAAATATTTAAAACAGAAATGTGTGTGTGTATAAATTCTATGAGTTTATTATGTGGTTTTATGAATATTTTCAAAATAGCATTTTTAATAAGAAATATATATGAGCTAAATGAATTCTTTTTAAACGATAATAAAAAAAATAAAAACATAGATAAAAATAATTCAAAGTCCAGTGGACAGGATGAAGAATTAAATTATACAAGAGATATAAAAAAAGAAAATAATGAACAAGAAGATATAAATAATAAATTACAAAATAATGAAAAAGAAAACGATATTTTTTTTTTATTTGAATTATTTAATCCAAAAGAAAATAAACATATTGAAGAAATTTTAACTATGCTATCTCGCATTTACATATATATAATTAATTACACGTTAAGAACTAGTAGTGACTTAAATTATAATATTGTGTCAATTATTGATAATTATGCTGAATGTATTCAAAAATATGTATTTGAAAAAAAATTTTTTTACTCCTTTTATAAAAATGAAAATTTTCTAGAAGAAAAACTTAATTTAAGTAATTTAATAAAGGAAGAAAAAGAAAAATTACAAAAAAATTTAAAAAGAAAAAAAGATTATGTCAATTTAAGTGAATTTGATATATCAGGAAAAAATGAAATGAATAAAATGGAAAGCGATGAGAATGAAGGAAATTTAATGAAATTAAGCAAATTAAATATTATAAAAGAAGATGAAAAGGAGAATAAAGTTGATAAAAATAAAATTAATATCAATACAAATGAGCATAATTCAAATAATTTTGATAAAATAGAAGAAAATGAATGTTTTTTTGTTGAAAGAAAAAAAATAAAAGCTTTTTATGAGCACATATATAAATTTCTTATTCATAAAATTCTTTTAGAAGATAGTAATGTATTAAATAATTGTATAAATTCAATAATAGATAAAAATGAAGTATATATTTCTTTTATGAATAGTGGAGAAAATTTAAAAAGAAAGACTGAAAAGTTGTACAAAGATGCATGTTTAAAAAAAAATTATGAAGTTTTATGTAAGGAAACTGAGGTTATTATTATGCATAGTATATTTGATATTCTTAAAAATGTTTCTAAACACTATATGAATGATGGAGGTAGAATTTTTATTTTTATATTACAATTAATAAATTTAAATGATGGAGATGTTGTTTATATAAAACCAGGAATAATTCATTCATACATATCAGGTCACTGTTTGGAATGTATGACTAATTCTGACTTAGTTATTAGAGGTGGATTAACAAATAAAGAAATTGATAAACTAAATTTTATTAAATATGTAAATTATAAAAATAATTATCCTGTAATTTTAGAAAAAGAATTTATAAATTATAATATTGTATCATATAGTTATCACAACATGAAACATTTCAAAATATTATTAATTACAATTAATCCAGGAGAAAAAATTAATTATTTGTTTTCAGAAAAAAGTTTTACTTCATGTATTATTATGTCAACCAATAAAAAAGTTAAAATAACAGGAAACAAAAATGATAAAAAAAAAATAATTATTAATAATGTTAGAAATGGTATGGTATTATTTATAGCACCAAAAGTAAAAGTTAGCATATCAAATTTTTATTCAAATGTTGATGATGGAAATAAAGAATTTGTAATGTATTGTGCAACATCTTAAAACAAAATTTTTTTTTTATTTTTATTGGTTGTTTTAAAATCTTAAATGTAAAACTTTTTTTTTTTTTTTGTATGTGTATTGTTTTTATATGTATCTTGATATATTTATATTTTCTTTATGTTTTATGGAAATTTACTTATTTATTTTGCTATTTTATTTATAATTCATTTTAGTTTTCTAATAATTTTATTTTATATATTAGTTGATACATTTTTTTTTTTATTATTCTTTTTTGTTCATCTATGAATGATAAAACTACATTTTTTTTTTTTTTTTAGTTTTTCCTTTGATATTTTTTCATATGTATTAACTTTTACTTTTTTACTCCTTTTTCTAATTTCTGAAGTATTAAAAAAAAAAAAAATAAAATAAGGAAAAGTAATTAAGCTTTTTAAGATTATGAAGAATTTCATTTTTGTAAATATAAGTAATTGATTTTATGTTCATTTTATAAAGTATTTTATTTATTTATTTATTTTTTTATTAATATATATATATATAAATAAAAATTTTTAAGTATAAACGTTAATATTTAAAAAAAAAAAGAATTAAAAAAAGAATATAAATAAAAATTTGTAGCAAATATATATATAAACAAAAAAAAAAAAAATTCAAATAAGAATTTTGTCATATTAATGATTTACAACTTAATTTTCTTCATCTGCTTTCTTTTTATATTCATTATTATAGTTCATTAAGAATAACAAATTCAATGCTTTAATATGATTATCTGATTTCCAATTAATAACGTCTTTCATATATAAAAGCATTTTTTTCATTAGCTTTCTTCTATAAAATTGAAATAATAAAATAAAGCAATAAAAAGAATAAGTAAGAAGAAAATAAGTAAAATATAAATATTAATTTTATAATTAAAAAATGAAAGTAAAATATTTTATATATACAAATTTTTAGAAATAGAAATATTTTCAAAGTATATAATAGTATAATTATATATAGTTATATATATATATATATATATATATATATATATATATATATATATATATATATATATATATATATAGTTATATATATGTGTGTATATATATATAGTTATATTTTTACTTTATGCTTATATCTTTTTGTCCAAACCAAGGAATGGTTTTGTTAATATTTGATTTTGAATAAACATAGTTATCAAAACTTTCATTTGAAAAGTTAAAATGAAATTTCTGATTTATAAATTTATTTCTTATTTGTTGTTTAAATGGTTTAATTAAATCATTTTCAACTAAATGTTTATTCAAACATAGATGCAAAATAAATTGAATAATATAAATACCACAATCATAACTGTTATTCTGCTTGGGAATAATATTTGGATAAATAAATTTAAAAAATATTTTTTGAATATCATTTTTTTTGTTTTTCATTTCTTTTTTATTTATTGACATTTGATCTAATATAAATAAATGCTCTACATATTTTTTTAATTTTTGTAAAATTTTATTTCCTTTTACGGAAGGTAATAAAGAATCTAGATATATCATGTATGCTATTTTAATATTTTTATTTTTTTTTTCGATTTTTAATTTTTTGGTTTCATTTATAAATTCTTTATGATTAAATTGATTTATGTGGTTTTTTTTTAAAAATTTATTTTCAGAGGATAATATACTTGATTCACCTATATCACTTAGACTTTTTTGAAATTTATTATAATAATATTTCTTATTTTCATTTAATAAACTTATATAGTTTTTTAATATGCTGTATTCGTTTTTTTTTAAAGGACTTTTTTTTAAAAAAAATGACTCCGATGATCTGTTTCTAAATTTATTATATGAATTATCAATTTTTCCTTTATAATTAGAATTATCTCTTACAAAAATGTTCATATTGTTTTCTGATTGTTCATTTTTTTTACAAATATCTTTCATATAATAATTATTTTGTTCGTTAATTTCGTTAACACTTTTATTGTATTTATAATTTTCTATATTATTTTCTATTTTTATATCAATATTATCTTGAGCATTATTAAATGGAAAATAAAGCAAAACTAATGACCAATGAGTGTTTTTTATATTAATTGGAATAAATACGTATCTATATTCGTATATTTTTTTTTTCAATTTTTTAATCCATCTATTTGTGTTTATATATGCTTTAAAAATATCATCATACAATTCTATTTTTTTGTAAAAAAAAGTATTAAATATATATATATCATTTTTATCCTTATCAAATTTTAGAATAAATGAATAAATATAATTATTAAAAAAATCAATAATAGAATCATCAATATATTTAGATTTATTTAAACGAAATATATTAAAGTTGTCTATTTTATAATTATTTAATTTCCATACATTTTTTTTTTCTAATGTTTTTTTATTTATATAATATTTCAATATCTCTGTATCTATTATTTTCTCTTTTTGCATAAATTGTAATTTTGCTTTTTCAATTTTAGAAAAATTCAAAAAAGTTGTAATATAAAATTTTAATTTATCTGTGTACCTAAAATGTCTATAATTACAATAAATTATTTTTATAATATCATAAAATGTATTTACTTTATATTTTAAAAAAAAACAACTTAAAAATTCGTTAGATTCATTCATTTTTTTACTTTCATTGTTATTATTTCTTAATTCCATTGTATTATTTTTTTGAATTAAACTCATTTTACATATTTCATTTTTATTACTATTACTATTATCTTCAATATTAATATTATTGTTGTTATCATTTATATCATTTTGTTTGTTATCCTTATTAATATATTCATCAATAGTCTTATTATTATTATCATTATCATTATTATTATCATTATTATTATCATTATTATTATCATTATTAATATCTTTGTAATTACTATTATTATTATTATTACTACTACTACTATCTATATTATTATTAATGTTATTATTACTACTACTACTATCTATATTATTATTAATGTTATTATTACTACTACTACTATCAATATTATTATTATTATTACTACTACTACTACTATCAATATTATTATTATTATTACTACTACTACTCCTATCAATATTATTATTATTATTACTACTACTACTCCTATCAATATCATTATTGTTATTATTATCATTATTAATGTTATTAATATCATTATTAATGTTATTAATATAATTATTATTATTATTATTATTATTATTATTATTATCATCAATATCATTATTGATATTATTATTATCATCATTATCATTATTGATATTATTATTATCATCATTATCATTATTGATAATATTATTACCATTATCAATATTATTATTATTGCTATTATTACTATTATTATAGCTGTAATTATTTATAATATCATTATTATTATCATTTATTTTATTATTATTATTATTACATATTTTAAAACTATTATCATTATTCGGATTATCTTTAAAGTAATAATTTCCCCATTCTTCATAACTTGCCTTTATGTAATTCTGATTTATGCACTTATTCTTTATTTCTACTTCATCATTCACATAAAAAAAATTTTCACAGTCATTTTTTATTACAGAATCATAAACAAAATTCTCTAAAACATTTATTTGATTGTTATCTTTTATATTTTTGTTATTAGTATTATTTTCTTCACTATATATTATTTCTCTTTTGCTAATTTTATTTTTAATATCAATAATATCACATTCATCATTTTTTTTTTTTTCAACCATAATTTTTTTATCATTAATTTGAATATCAAAATAATTTTCAACCTTATTAATTTTTCTTTTTTTTGTATTATTTATCTCTAAATTATCATTTTCATGAATGTCAATTTTAGAATATTTATTCACTAATTTTTCTGTTGATATGTTACAATCTGTTAATACATGAATGTTTTGTTCTTTTTCATTATATATTTCTATTTCATCTTTAAGTATGCCTTTGTCATCAACTGTTTCGTTATTTATATCTATATTATCCTTATATAAATTTTCTTTTTCATTTTTAAAAATATAATTTTTCTTTATTTTTTCATATTCATAACTTTTTTTTTCATTTTCAGACTCATAATTTTTTTTTATTTTTTCTAGTTCATAATATTTCTCTTCATTTTCTAAACTATATTCACCTTTTCTACTTTTTCCCCTTTCTTCTTTAATAGTTTTCTTTTCTTCAATTTCTTGTTCTTTTTTTTCATATTTTTTTTTTGTTCTATCTACTATTTCTTCATCTAACTGAAAGTTAAAAATTAAATGATGATCATCAATTTCTTTTTTATTTTTTAGTTTACTTTCGTTGTGGTAGTATTTATGTATTTTATTTAAATATTTTAAAACACAGTCACTTTTATTATCATCAATAATTGATTTATTAGTATTATTTTGATTTTTTTTATCTTTTAAAATTTCATTATTCTTTATAACATTTTTCTCATTTTCTTCCTTTCTTATATTTTTTTTTCTATTTTTTAGAAAAACATTGTCGATATTATTGCAATTCAAATTGGAGTTTTTTAATTTTTCAATATTTGACTTTTTACATATGACATATTTTTGTATCATAATTTCTTCTTCTTTTTTTAAATTTAAGTTTAATAAAATCCATTTTACTTTTAAGTTATTTCTTGTAAATATATTAAAACTTTTTTTTTTATTTCCTTTTATATCTGATTCACAATCTCTTGTTATAACTTCCGAATCACTAAAGAAAAGATCATTACTACATATACTAATATCACTTTCATAATTTTCTAAAAAACAACGTGGTAAATCATCATTTTTTATTTTACGTATGATTGATCCATATTTATTTTTTTTTTTTTCTTTTGAGCATTCTTTTTCTATAATTTCATATTTTTCATCATTCAAAAATCCTTTTATTTGTTTCAAAAAGTTTTCATCTTTACCTACATAATAGTATTAATAAAAAAAAATAAATAAATAAAATAAAAAAAAATAAAAAAAAATAAAAAAAAAAATAAAAAAAAAATAACAATATACATTAAAAATTATGTATATTTACTTTGATCTATATGGGCAAATTGATTCATGAAAATATTTGCAGGTTCATGAAAATGAAGAAATAGAATTTTTATTTCATCATCATATTTAGAACTAATTTTTTTATTTTCTTCATTTTTAATATTATTATTTTTGATCATAATATCATCTTGTAAGTTGGATAAAGTATTTTCCTTCATACTAATTTTTGAATAAAAATAATTTTCTTCATTAAAAGATTGTTGTGAATTTAAATCATTACTTTGATTAAAATTATCTTTATTTATATAATCTATGTGATATTTATCTTTTTTATCTTTTCTTCCCTTTTCTTGATTTTTATTTATTTTTTGTTCTAAAATAGTTTTCAAACAATTTAGAGTTTTATCATCTGGGTTACTCAGTTTCGTATATTCAACAGTTGATAAATCATAACTGCAATTTATACTATCAAATAATTTTGTTACAAAAATTTTTTTTGATATATTTGAAGAATTTTCAATTTTCACTTCTTGTTCTTTTAATTTATTATTTATAGGAATATCTTTGTAAGAAGGTGAAAATTTATTAATAAAATTATTATCTTCATTATTAACTGAGTTATTATTACTATTTTCAATTTTTACTAGATATTTTTTATTTGTTTCTATAAAATTATTTATTTTATCATTATTTACATTCCTCTTTAAATGCTCATCTATATCATCTTTTTTTTTTGTATATTTACATTGTACTTCATATATATATATTTCATTATTTTTTTTATTTAAACATAAATATAATTTTGTTTTTTTCTTTTTATAAAAATGATAGAGATATTTATTTTGACCTGAATTATTTTTATTTGTACTGGGATAAAATGAGATAATTTTGGAATTACCGCAAATATATGAAATTAATTCAACGATTATAAAATTATTATTATTTTCATCAAGTTTTTCATTGTTATCATCTGATGATAATATTTCACATAAATTGTTTGTAAATGTATCTTGATTTTTTTTTTCTTTTTCAATATAATTGCAATTATTTTTATTTTTTATATCATTCTTAAACCTACATTCTTTGTTTATATTTTTCATATTTTCCTCATATAATTTTTAATAATATAATATTAATATATGATTAAAATTTAATATTCCTTTTTTTTTTTTTTTTTTTTTTTCTATTTTACCAACATATTTATGTTTTAAGAGAAAAAAAAAAAAAAAAAAAATTTTTTTTTTTATTGAATAAAACGGTTCTGAATTATTCTAACCCCTTTGGATATAAATAAATGATCCTTTTAAAATTAAAAAAAAAAAAAATGGAAATATAAAACAAATGTAAATATGTGTAAAAATATATAATTACATAAATTCATACGAGTTTTATATTATGAAAACTTATTTTCCTTATTTATTAGAATAAAAATTTGCTTCATATTTTTGTAAGAGTGTTTTTTAAAAAATCAATATCAATATTTTTTTTACTTTATTATGTTAAATTCTATTTAAGTACATTATATTTTTTATATATTTTAATATATATAATTTTCCTATACCTTATATTAATATATTACATTTCTATTATATTTTATATATTATTTTGTTTTAATATTATTTAATGTTTTAATTATTCTTTTTTTTTTTTTTTTTAATTGTATTCTCAAAAAAAATATGAATATACATTTATTTACATATGCTTGTGAATCTATATATTTATTGACATTATATATGTATATCTATATATCTATATATATCTATATATATTAAAATCTATGAAAAAAATAAATATATATATATATATATCTTATATATATTTTAATATATATTTCTTTACCTGATTGGAAAAATTCTTAGAAGTGAAAGACAAAAAATTTGTTCAAATTTAGTTTGCATATGTTAAAAATTAAGAATTTTTTCTTATTTTTTTTTAATAAAGTACTGCTAATTTATCTAAAAGAATTTAAAATTCTTTTAAATTTAAACTATGATTCATTTCAATGATAAATTCTATTAATGATAATTTTTTTTTATTTTTTATTATATTATGAAAGAAGTTTTTTTTAATATTTACTAGACAAAGATTCATAAAAAAAAAAAAAAAAAAAAATTATTAACAAATAAATATATTATTATGAAAGTGTAACAAATTAAAAAAAATGTTTCTAAATAAAATATATATATATATATATATTTTTGGGATTTAATTAACATTTATTTTTGATTTTCATCTGTTTCATTAATAAAAGGAAGATCATATTTTAAAAAAACAAATGACATTATTCTGAAAAATCTGAAGCATTATAAAATATCTTTAAAAATTAAACGAAAAAAATGAAAAAATATTATTTTTAAAAATATAATAATTATTAAAAAAACATTACAAAATGTAAAAAAAAAAAAAAAAAAAAATATTGTTTTTAATCTACATATGTATAATGATTTTGTTTTTTAACATTACAAAAATTATATATTTTTCTTTAATATTTTAAAATATTTATATAATGGGATAAAAAAAATTATGAAATATATATTTGTAAATTATATATATTTAAGAAATATGTAAACATTTTTTGTAAGTTTTTATATTTATGTAGGAAAGGATGATTGAGTCATATTTTTTTGTTTCAATTTATATTAAATATTATGTGTATTTTTTTTTTTTCATAGAATGCTTTTATTAAAAATTAAAAAAAATATTATTAATTTATTATAAACATATAAGTATATTTAATTGTATATTATTATTTTTTTAAAATTTATTTATTTTATTTTTTTTTTTTTTAATGGAAATTAAACTTAGATTGTGCAATAACTATTAATAATCACAATTTATAAGTAATATTTTAATATATATTAAGTTTATTATTTTAATATGTTGTATAAATTTATGAAAATTTAATTGTTTATTATTTTCATAAGTATAAATATTTTAATTATTATCATTTATTTTATTTTTTTTTTTTAATTCTAATTTTTAAAATTATATAAATTTAAAAGTAAATATTCCCCTTTTTATTTATTATACAAATAACATTATATTTAATTATTTTATTTTTAATTATTTTTTATAGTTTTCTTTGATTTTTTACATTTTTAATTTTTATCTATTTTGTTTTACTTTTATATTTCTCAACGGTAAGAAGATTTTATTATTTTCTTTTGGATTCAAAGTAATTATGTGAGTATATAATAAATACATACTTATATAATAAATACATATGTATATAATAAATACATATGTATATAATATATATATATATATATATATATAATATATATATATATATTTTACTATCATATCTTAAAAATATAATTAAAATTAATTTTCTTTTTTTTATATATGTATTTATTTTTTAATGATTAAGAAAATTATTTTTTTTTTTTTTTTTTTTAGTTATTAACTCGAAGCATTATAAATTAAAAATACAAAAAAAAAAAGTATATAGGAATTCTTTTTTATAAATTGTTTATTATATTTATGATAATTTATATTTAATTTGTTTTCTTAAATTATTAATAAGAAGAATACGAAAGGGAAAAATAAAGAATTTCAATTTTTATTAAAAAAAGTTAATTTAATATAAATATACCAAATAAAAGAAAAAAAATATTATATTTTGGTTATTTTTATTTTTTATTTTTTTTTTTTTTTTTTGCAAAAATAGGAAAATCTTTTTCTTAATTAAAAACAGAAAAAAAAAATACATTATCATAAAAAAATGTAAAAAAGGAAAAATTAAAAGAAAAAAGTTTTAAAATAATTTCATGGGCATTTAATATTCTTTATATATTAGGACTATATAAAAATATTTAATTTTTAAAATAGGAATATTATCAAATTTTTTTTATTTTTTTATTTTATATGATTCAAATAATGTACATTAAGATTAAAAAAAAAAAAAAAAATAATATTCTAAATTTCCATTACAAATTTAATATATATGTATTTAATTTCACAAAATTATTATATTTATATCTTTTTTTTTTTTTTTTTTTTTTTTTTTTTAGAAAAAATGGATATTAATTTAGAGGAAAGATCTTATACATCCCCATTATTACGTTATATATACAAAAAGAATTACAACTTAAATAAAAATTCTAAAGGAAATAATAACGGATTCATACCATTTAGTATAAGATTGAGTAGCTTACCTATAAAAAATGCTAGTGATAATAAATATATGTCTAACATAAATTCATTAAATGTAACTAATTTATTGCCATTATCATTATTTTCAAGTTATAATAGTAATAACATGAGTTCAACTGATATTTTATTTTTACCAAAATTTTCAACTTTTCTTTTTTTTACTATACCTATATTTGTTATGTTACCCAATCTAACCTTATACACAAAACATTGGTTTTTTTTTGCACCTAAATAAATAGTAAAAATTGTTATTTTTAAAAAAAAAAAAAAAAGAATATATATATATATATATATAAATACATTTTACTTTTTTTTTTTTTTTTTTTTTTTTTTTTTTCATTTAAGATATATATAAGATTCTTTCCTATTTTTCTCTTATTTATTTAATTTTTCTTTGTTGTTTATATTACTATTAAATATTTTCATTTAAGATATTATATAAGATTCTTTTATAATTTTCTCTTATTTATTTAATTTTTCTTTGTTTTTTATATTACTATTAAATATTTTCATTTTTTTTTTAATTATTATATCATTTTCCTTTTTTATTCTTTACTTTGATATAACGTTTTTTTTTTTTTTTTTTAAAAAACATGACAAAATTTTTTATTTTTACTCTATTAAATTTTCATAAATAGTTGCAAATTATTTTAATATATGTAAAAACTATGAATTGAAAATAGACCAAGATTTAGTTAATATATATATATATGCTACCCGATACTTGATAAATTTAAATACTATTTATTTTTGTATATAAATAATATTTACAAATAGGTTTTATTGAACTAAATTTTGTATATATGACAAGATAGTAAATTTACAAAAAAATAAATTTAGAAAGTTTAAAATTTGTCTACATAAATTGAAATTATCTATTTATGAATAGGTATATTTTAATATAAAATTTATTTTCTTTTAGTTGTAATCAGAGTTAAACACTATTAATTTTTATCAGATTATTAAAAAAAAAAAAGAAAAAAGAAAAAAGAAAAGAAATTTTTTATTAACTTAATGATTACCAAAAATAAGAATATGATATAATTATTTTATATTGCTGCAAAAGAATATGTAATATATATTTACATATATATATACCTTTACAAGAAAAATTAAGAGAAAAAAGAAAAATCAATCGACAATGAATCTATAAAAAATTTAATTTTTATAACATCATATTATTTTTATTTTTATTTTTATTTTATTTTATTTTTTTTTTTTTTAAGTAAAAAAGTCAATTTATGTTTAAAATTTTTTTGTAATTTCTTTTT